TTTTTTTTTTTTTTTTTTGGTACACACAATATGAGTAATATCGTTTGTGGATTAACTTCCACTCATGACAAAATTTGTGCACCGATTTTGCGGTCAGGAAGTCGTGGTCGGCAGGTGCGTTTACTTCTTACATACTGGGGTACAAACGTGCATGGAATTGCAACGCACCTGCCGACTCCAACAATCACAACCGAAAACAGCGTACATATCGTATATTTCTATATGTCAAATGTTGTGAGGTGACAATGTCAATCACGTATGTGTCATCATCGACCACGTATCTGGAAGGAAGGCCACCGGAAAAGTACTGTCCCAGAGGCAACTACGAAGATATGATTTTGAAATCAGAAGATAGTAGGAAGATGTTGAAAGGTGTTGAGATAAGTTGAGATTTGTTGGACGAACACTGAGCGATGGTATACACTGCGCGTGTTCAAGGGCGAGCAACTGTTTACGGAATACGTAAAATGTTAATTTCAACAGAAGGAAATATGACTTTCACATATTTCAACAAATATCAAGGACATGTCCGCATTCTGTAAACACATAAAATTTAGAATATTCGCCTTGCATTTTTTCTGTTGTCCGGCTTTTCCGACCGGATAACCACCATGGAACAACAACATGCCTCCTCCACCATCCAGGTCGTCACCACCACAGCCCCCTCCTCCACCTCGGACTCCATCACCCTTCCCCCATCCCCCGCCTCCACGTCTACACCACTTACTTCCTCCTCCACATCCTCCGTTCTTTCTGCCAACATGTCATCCATGCCCCCGCCTTCATCCACCACCACCTCCACCATGGTCATCCCACCTCCCCTCTCGCCCAAAACGACAACCTCACCATTACACAATCGTCGACAATTCCCCCCCAATTGAAACCTCTCTTGACTTCGTCGACTATCAGCTTCACCCTCCCCACCTATACCTAGATCACTCCCACACCACAAACCCCCCACCACGCTCTTCCACTACTTCCCCCAAACCCTCTCATTCCCGCCAACCCCACCAACAATTTCAGTTTGATCGCTTCTTCCTCCCCTACCCTTGACTTCAACGCCCTCGCCGTTACTGCCCCCGAAGTCGGCAATTTCCCTTATCATTTCGTGCCAACGAGATCCCAACCTTCTCCGGCCAATCCCATGAGGGCGTCTTCCTCTTTCTCACCAAACTCCAACAAGCCTTCTCCCTCCACAACGTTCCCGTCATCCACTAGCTCCCCATCGCTGGCACCGAACTCCCAGAAGGCATCGTTCACTAGTACGCAAAAATGTCCAACCGCCATCATGCCAATCTTCCACCTCACTCGTTTCTTGAGTGGGCCACCATGATCACCTCCACCTTCCGTCCATTGAAAACAGTCGACGACTACCTCAACCAATTTTGTGACTCCGCCAAAACAGGCCGACCGACCGTTTTGTTCAATACGTCCGCTCGCTTTGCCAACACATCCCCATCGACGTCATTGGTGACACCACATTCATCTCCCGCGTCAAGTGGGTATGCCGCAAGGATCTAGCGGCAACCCTTGTCCACGAGCCGTCTATGACATTCGCCGACCTCCTCGGTTGTGCCCTCCAAATCGACCGCCTTCCCTCCCCCTGCAAGGCCACACTCATATCGGTTATTTCCAGCCCCCGCTTCTTTCACAACATCACCTACAAAAAAACCACCTTCACCACTTCCTCGGACGAGTTTTCCACACCCGACCTCGACACACTTTCCGACTCACTCGATTCCTCGTTACTCACCATCAAGGAACTCGACACCATCCAATTCATGAGGATGGAGCGCAAGGATCACATTGCTCAACCTTTCTCATCCACCCAACCTCCCCGCATCAAGAAACTCACTCTGAAGGAATGCACCTACCTCCAATCCAATGGTGGCTGCTTCCGTTGCCGCCAATTCGGACACCAACAAACAAATTGCTCCAACGCTGACCAATTCACTCGACAAGCACCCCAGTCCACGACATCCCGACCCGTTGTCGGGGCAAATACCCTTGTCCCTGATAAGAGTATTTGTCAAGGGTTTTGAACATCGGATATTGTCCGACTCTTTCGTTGAGTTGAAGGACTTGACGGGACTGACGATTGCCAAAAGTTTATTCAGACTTTACGTATGGCTGAGAGATTAAAAGTTTTCGAGCTTTAGTCCGGACGCTTGTCGTCCGAGTGTAACGATGGTAGTTGGAAGTGCTCCACTCTTGTTGAAGCCGCAAAGGCGTGCGGGCATAAAAGTGGTAGAGCTAGACCTATTCTACCTAAAATTAGCAGCCGCACGATTCAGGAATTTTGGGGCCTAAGTAGGCTAAAAAGAACGGTTGCACCAGGTATGGGGCCACGACGTGGGAGGAATAGGAAGGATTTTTTCTTTCCGGGCCCGCGGGGTTTGATTTCAAGCTAGGGGGCCGACAAACCGGTGTTGTGGCCTACCCGGTTGGGTGACCGTCGAGCTACGGTCGTGCGGCCATTCGACGGGGAGTAGGCCAGAATGCAAGGCCATTAGGCCTTGAGTAGGCGTTGTTGGGTCACAGGCGAGCAATTTCGGTCGTGCGATCATCGAGATCGCGCGGCTGAGATTAACCGCACCGTAGATCAGCATGGCCCTGCGCAAAGATGACATGCATAAATCGAGAAACGGTCCAATAAACTTTCGATCTCCATCAAGGATTCGAACCCGGGCCTGTTTTTCGTTAGTTCGTGGCAATCATTGGCATAAGCCAACGTAAAAAAAAAATAAAAAAAAATAAAAAAAATAAAAAATAAAAATAAAACTAACTAAAAATGAAGCGCCAGATGGCGCCACAAGACGTGACTGGGGCACTTAACCCCAGTGCACCAAACAGCGCCCTGAAAAACGGGCGACTGTTCTTGCAGAAGGTAAGATCGTTTTAATTTTTTTTTCTTTCAAAAAAAAAAAAAAAAAAAAAAAAATCTAAACAAAATCTAAAAAGAAAAGAGAATAACGAGGTTTTTTGAACGAACTACGTGACCTGAAAAGGAACTTGTGGGTTGGTGAGAGATGTTGTTGTGCTCACCTATGTATGTTTCTTTTGGGGTATCTCTGGGGATTTAGTTTTTGATAGCTTAGTCGCTTTAGATGCTCGGCGTGTGCTAGAGTCATATGAGTTAGTTTCAATTCCTGCATTTTGTGGGCTAAGTTCATTTTTACTTAGGTTGATTTTTGCATTCTCTGGGAGGATTTCTTATACTTGGTCTTGTATAAATTTTGGTACTCCACTTTCTCTACGGGAAGCGCTACTGAAATTTCTACAAAACTAAGGAGTTAGTCAGATTTTGTCTTTTTCAGGGTCCAGTTTTTTTGATTTTTTGGCTCAGTAAAAATTTGAAAAAACTTCTTTTCTAAAGGGAGTGCTGCTCAAATTTTTGGTAATTCAGGAAGCTAGACAAAATGGGACCTTGAGAAGTCAAAGTCAGTTTTGATTCTGAACTTAACTTTGTATAAATCTTGGGATAGCACTTTCTCTAAAGGAAGCGCTGCCAAAATTTTCTTAGTTTAGAGGAGTTAGATTATATTTTGGCAGGTGGCAATTCTGGCAATCCACTCTGTATAGAGGAGATTCTGCCAAAGGTCTACCTTTTTATTAGACACTGACTTAAGGGTAGACTCAGGATTAGTTAAATAGAATGATTCTTGGAGAGGTCGTAATTATGAATATTATTCTCGATTTGGACTCATAGATTTAACTTGGGGATTGACCTTGACATGTCTTGTGTTACAGGTCCTCTTGGACGTTTGACTTGAAATCAGGACTAGATTCATCTTAGTCCAACAAGGATTACCTTCTGTTATTACTGATAACAGGTCGGTTGCCGATTCGTCGGTTTTCGACTCAACTCGAATCCACTATTGTCACTCAACCTAAAGGCTTTAGCCCTGTGGTTTGATTTGTTTCGTTGCGTTTTTACCCGGACTTTATTTGAATGGTCATTTAATAAAGATGTTGAGTGTTTTATTTTGAGAGTTGCACAAACAGTGAGACTTGTATAGCTAAAGCGAGGGGTGTGAGCGCAAAAAATTGTTGAAGTTGACTCCGTGTAGTGCATGGACTTTTGGTTGAATCTTTGATGTGATCGCAGGTGTGTTTGGTGGTTCGGACTTTGAATTTGACTGCCTGCGATCACTTAAGTGTATATGGCTGAGAGAAGTCTCTGTGATTGTGAGAAGTGATCGTCACATATGCTACAGCGAACGAGAAACGACTCGGCTGGGCAACCTCTGAAATTTCATACGAAAAGCCTTCGCATGTGGTTCTGTAGCTCGGTGGGGATACGCCCACCCAAGGGATGGTGACATCTTCCGCAGGTGGAGGTAAGCGGTGCCTCGCGTGACCCTGTCCTATCGTAGGGGCTCGCGAGAGGTACGGTTGGTGCACTCGGCCAAAACGGCAAACGCTCTCCGCGACAAGTCCTACAAAATCCTGCGTGACGCGGCCGGGAGGGTCCCCGTGTGGGACCAATGCGCTCGACAGGTGGCCCCGTTGCCAGGGATCTCGGCTGCCTACCGGGGTCCTTAAGAGAACGAACCCAGGTTAAGTGCAGGCTGATGATCCAGACAAAACGACAATCTTTATTAATGACGTTAAATAAATGAGTGATGTGATGATGATCGTAGTGGGATTGCATTGTTGAATGACAGTGTCATGGTACACTAACGATAGGAAATGACTTGGGTTAGGAAGAGGTATTTTCCTCTTATGAAAAAACTCTTGTAAGGGAAACTATAAACGTTTTATTTAACTAAGCATTTGAGTTTATCATTTTAGCTCTTTAAGCCTATCTGTGAAATTCATTCATTTACGTCAGCATACATTTAAGTAAGCTTATTTAAATGCAGACTCATGTAATTTTATGTACTCGATGTCATTTATCTAAGGTTTACTCATTTATGATTAGCCACATTAACTATCTTTTCGATTTTATTTATTTAAAATACAATTCTTCTAAGTTGATCTATGTAAGCTAGTCAACTTGAAAATTATCAACTTATGTTTATTTTTATTCTGAATTGATATGCATGGGTTGATCTTTTAAAAAAAGGTAAAGAAGTTACACAGAATCCACGTCCGATGCGGATTCGGAGGTGGATGGAGTGACCAGTTTCTTGGGAAAGTGACTTTCACAAGAAAGTGACCAATGTGTGAAGTCTACCCTAAAGAAAGTTGCAACCCTATGTTATTATTCCCTAAGAGATCACTTTGAAGAAATTATAATCTTGTTTTGTAGGTAGTAGTGAGACCCACGCCGGAAATATGTTCCTGGTCCATAGTGGGGTGTTGTCGTCTGATCCTTTGTGGTGAAATGACTACATTACTACCGAATAGGAGGAAAGTGTTTGAACCTTGTCAGGCCATGACCTTTGAGGGAGACGGCTACTGCCTGCCACAGAGAGATAGGGGGTGAATCCCCAACTATTTTTGTGTCAAGTGGTTTCATCTGCATGCGAAGGGTCAGCGCATCCCGGAGTATGTATGGTGAGGTTAACTACCTTGTTGACAAGGGTCTACAAGGTGCAAGTGCTGGAATCGGAGGGAGATGCAGTGAGGCTTGATCCTTGAGCGAGCCTCAAGAATAAGATGTTACCCCTTTGAGAAAGGGTTACACTGTCTCTGGACATAATATATTTTTGTCAAAGCCTCGGGAATTATAATATAATATTTTTTATTATTGTTGTATTTGAAAACCTTCATGGTTGGAAAATTTAACTTGATCATGGTATCATTATTTATTCATGATTATTACTTCTCCATTACGATATATAGCATTTAAATATATATTATTGTTATTATTGTATGATTAGGATCATTGGAAGAAATAAAATTTTAAAGAGCGAACGAGAGTTTAGCGATAAGGTCCGGTAAGGAACTGAAAAGACAGACTGCCTCTGGATATGGAATATCTTGCTCATCTTTGAGTTGAGGTTGTTCAACCCTTGAGGCTATTTTTATTTTTTCGAGTTGGGATATCCCAACTCGGTACGTAACTAAGGTTTGGGATCACCTCTTTGTTTGACGATCACTATCACTCTCACATGTGTGGTTTTATCCTGCTATATGATAATTTGTTTTTGTGATAGGTGTACAAGATGCATCTCGTGTGTTGTGTGAATGTGAAATATGTAAACTGTCTGCTCTTTAGTATACTCGCGCAATCTGCCTATGAACAGACAATAGGCTCGAGTATAAGAAAGAGGAGCACAGTTCGTTTGGGRAAAAAGTGTGAAAAGTCTCAAGGGACTTATGAGTCTTCTGAGACTCAAATGCTTGTCCATGCCGAATGTTATTTGTTGAGTTGAGACGAGGACCCACAAGTTGGTCTCTCAGTAATAAGTGTTTATGGTTGACTCCCCTCCATCTGGAAGGTGGTT